GGCGCCCGAGTTGGGCTTTTAAACGTTTAGCCCATTTTTTTCGATCGAAAAGACGGAATTTTTACCTCGTTGTGTCCGCTATCCAAATCTTCATCCGATGAACTCATTTATGTTCGTATATCACACCAATAAGTATGATTTGTGATGAAATCGTCTTGATAGCGAATTTTTTTAGAGAGAGAGAGTCTTTGAACGGTAAATAGCAATTTTCAAACGGTAAAAAGCAAATCCCTATATATATCTACAATGATTAATGCTAAAAGTAATTTGGCACAATTAGGCCCGTTTAATAAATGTGGTAATAATATGCTTTTAATAAATCTCATATTGGTATTCAATTTTAGATTGGGTAGTTGATACGGGCTTGATTGACAATTAATAAATAAACATAAGCCCACTAGAGTAAGCCCAATACGATAGGCCCATAATGAAGAACCCATGATGTCTTAGCTCGGTACCGTGAGCGAAGTCGTCGTATGGCGCGAACCCCGGAACTACTTGGGAGTACCTTAACTCGCTAGCCCAATACCAAAACGAGGTAAGGCGAGCCCAGGACAATACAGGCCCAAGATACATGACTTGGGGGAAAAGAGAAACCCTAAAAAAGGAAAGCCTTGGAGGCCAAGCTTTCCTCATCTATAAATAAGAGAATCAACACACACACAAAGGGATGAGATTTTTTACACTAATCACTATTACATTGCATATACATTTTTCTATTTCCGATCACTGACTTGATCGTCGGAGCTTTCCCGCCGGGAACCCCTCCCGGCGTTGCAGGTTTATTCACCCGGAGTACGAACGGAGCTGGCTTGAGGAAGACGAAGACCTACGGACTAAATCAAGTGGCGCCGTCTGTGGGAAAGGCCTAAAAATCAGGAGAAAACAGCTTCCGGGAAAAATCAGATCTACCCCCGGAAGTCCAGATCTGAGCTGAGAACGTGGAGAAAGAATGGACGGAGAAGACGCAGTCGCCCGGAATTTGCAGAAGGATTTGGATGCGGTAGCCCGTGGTGCACCGGTTGACCCATCGTCCGTTCAGAAAGATAAATCGGGGTGTAGCTTCCTTACACCTGAAAAGGAGGGCCGGATCCCCTTCGCTCCAAGCAGCCCCTCTTTCGAGTTCCAGGATGGCGAAGCTGCTTCGAGAAGGCCAGCCACAACCCCCGCTCAGGCTCCCAATGAGCGCACGTATACCCGAGACGAGGTGGAAACCATGATCACCGCGGCCATCAGAAACTACACCCAAAGTTTACCTCACGATAACCGACTCAGGAGGGATCCCAGACATTCCCCGAACGAGGGACGAGCTGATGACGAAGGCGACAGTTATTCGGAAAATCGAAGAGGCGATAGTCATAGAGTCAGGACCGAGGTAGACAGCCTGAGACGCGATATGAATGAATTAAAGGCCTTACGGAACAGGCCAGCGCGAGATCTCGTGGGATCTAGCCCTTTCGCAAAACACCTTGATGATGACCCCATACCAGCTAGCTACCGACCCATTTCGTTCGAGTACAATGGCACATCGGATCCCGCCGAGCACCTAAGCCGTTTCAACAATACAGCATCGCTTCATCAGCTCACAGAAGGGGTGAGATGTCGTGCCTTCGCTACCACTCTAGCCGGATCTGCTCAGGCCTGGTTCGGTTTGCTGCCTCCCGGGAGCGTACAATCTTTCGAGCAATTTGCCAAGGCTTTCATGAACCAGTTCGCCAGCTCAAAGAAGTGCAAAAAAACCTCCCTGTCACTATTTAGCATTCGCCAAAAGGAGAAAGAAAGCCTCAGGAGTTACATCAAACGGTTCACCTCGGCCACCCTGGAAGTCCCGACCACCAGTGATGAGGTACTCATGGCAGCTCTTTCTCAAGGACTGAGAGATGATGAGTTTTTCCGAGCTTTGGCGCTGGAGTCGTCCCCTGATTTCGATAACCTATTAGAAAGGGCATCTAGGTTCATCAATTTAGAAGAGGCCCGCCAACAGAAAGTGGAAGAATCTCACCAAGTCGCAAATACACGAGTCAGCGAAGTAAAGAAAGGCAGGAGCTCATGTACTCGCAGGGATGC